AAAAGCAAAAAAAAAGAAAAAACTCATCTCTGGAGAATCTGTATAGAAAAAGTAAGTAAAGTTCCTAGTTTGAGGTATTTTTGAAGGAATTGTGCGATTTTCGTACATTTCTAGTACTTCTGAAGACTATTTACATATATTCAAGACTAAAATGAACTCCAGAAAATGGCGACTCTGTCCCTTTAACAAGAAAAGCAAAACTTCATTTATATTAAACTTTTTATATTTTCAGACGGTACAATAATAAGATAGTGTCGTATGATCATTGTACAAGACCAAGAAATAAAGACAAATTTCTATAATCAATACAAAATGAAAGAACAGGATCGATCAACTTTAACATCAAATCAACTAGATAAAGACAGTAGTTTACAAGAAGAAAGTAGTCAGAGTGAAGGTTTACAAGGAGAAAGTAGTTTGAGTGAAGGTTTACAAGGAGAAAGTAGTCAGAGTGAAGGTTTACAAGAAGAAAGTAGTTCGAGTGAAGGTTTACAAGAAGAAAGTAGTTCGAGTGAAGGTTTACAAGAAGAAAGTAGTTCGAGTGAAGGTTTACAAGAAGAAAGTAGTTCGAGTGAAGGTTTACAAGGAGAAAGTAGTTCGAGTGAAGGTTTACAAGAAGAAAGTAGTTCGAGTGAAGGTTTACAAGAAGAAAGTAGTTCGAGTGAAGGTTTACAAGAAGAAAGTAGTTCGAGTGAAGGTTTACAAGGAGAAAGTAGTTCGAGTGAAGGTTTACAAGGAGAAAGTAGTTCGAGTGAAGGTTTACAAGAAGAAAGTAGTTCGAGTGAAGGTTTACAAGAAGAAAGTAGTTCGAGTGAAGGTTTACAAGGAGAAAGTAGTTCGAGTGAAGGTTTACAAGGAGAAAGTAGTTCGAGTGAAGGTTTACAAGAAGAAAGTAGTTCGAGTGAAGGTTTACAAGAAGAAAGTAGTTCGAGTGAAGGTTTACAAGAAGAAAGTAGTTCGAGTGAAGGTTTACAAGGAGAAAGTAGTTCGAGTGAAGGTTTACAAGGAGAAAGTAGTTCGAGTGAAGGTTTACAAGGAGAAAGTAGTTTCTGCACCATGTGGGCTAATGAAGACAGGCAACACCATGCAGGATGCAATGAGAGACATTTTGCCAGGACAGCGGAAATAGCCTTTTAGCTCTTTTCGATTTCCAACTATCGATGGATCTATAACTTGCAAAGAATGTTGCACATCCGTCATAGCTGCTCAACAAACACTACAAATAGGAACG